GCAATCATTCTGCGACCGCGCGTTCGGTCTCCTTACAAGTCTAACTTTTCTCAAGCCCCCGCACGTAGTAGGGGTCCGGATGAGGGTCGGCTCATCTTTGTTATCGTCGCCCCATCTATGGTTTCTGTAACCGGAGGGGTTGAGCTAACATCACCTGCCTCGATGGCTCAAGTGACGCGCTCAGTGAGCTTCCTATCGGGCATGTTCGAGTGGAATCTGGGCCTGTCGTTTGTGAAGGGGTCGGCATAGCCCTCATGTGGCATTCCACTGCTCCTTAACTCGCCTCCCGGCGGATGCCCATGTTGCTCTGGAGAGTGACTCAGGTGGCCCGCTGACCTCTCCTTAATGGAGATTCTATGGGCTCGGCTCGAGGTTAGAAGCGAACGAGAAGGTCGAGATGACCCTATCCGCTTCTAAGCGGGTCGAGCAAAGGCCGCTAGGGCTCATCTATGTTTTCTCCCCTGGCTCTGTTCGACGCGAGGCGGCCTCAGGCCCTTTGTGGGCCGGCCTTCGAACCCCGGTCAGGTGGATTCTCGAATTCGGGTCGGGCGGCTCAAGCCCTCGAGCCCCATGGGGGTTGGTAGGGGTCGGCCAGATTTCATGCGTCACCCCATCCTCGATTTCCGCAGCTGGAGGGGTTGAGCTAACAACACTTGTCTCGATGGCTCAAGTGTCGCGCTCGGTGAGCTCGCTAACGGGCACATCCAAGTGGAATCTGGGTCCGTCATTCGCTGACAGGGTCGGCATAGCCCTCGTGTGGCATTCAACTGCTCCTTAACCTGCCTCCCGGTAGATGCCTGAACCGTTCAATTGGCTTGGGTGGCCCGCTAGGCTCTCCTCGATGGAGATTCTATGGGCTTGGCTCGAGGTTATGATTAAATGAGAAAGGTCTAGATGTCCCTGTCCGTTTCTGAGTGGGGTCGGGCAAAGGCCCCTGGGGCTCATCTAAGTTTTTCTCCCCTGGCTCTGTTTGATGTGAGGCAGCCTCGAGCCCTTCGTGGGTCGGCCTTCGAACCTCACCGCTCATGTCGAATGAGACGACTACCGCTTCGTGACGCGACGCGAAGTGTTGTGATGCAATAACTGCATATGCAATGCTTGGATGTATGAGATGAATGTATGGATAAATGTATGAATGAATGTATGGATGCATGCATGAGAATGGATGAATGAATGTTCATGTACTAGAAAAGTAAAGTGGGGGATGGTAAAGTTACCTCGATGGCTCGAGTGACGGGTTCGAGGAGCTCTTACCAAAATATGTCCGTGCGGGGTTCGGGTCCGTCGTTCGTGATGGAGTTGGCATAACCTGCATGGAGCATCTTGTTTTTCCCTACTCGTCTCTTGACAATGGCCCAAGCCGTTCGATCGAATTGGGTGACCTGTGGGCCTCTCCTCGGTGGAGATTCTATAGGTAGGCCCCTCCAAACCCTTATGGGGAAGGAGGAGGGTAAAGCTCGGGGTGCAGGGATAAAAACTCTGATCACGCTGGTGAGCAGAAACGTCGTAGCAGTTGGGGCATAGGTTTCTAACGGTCCGACCAGTTTTATTCAGAGTTTATTTCCGCACACCTTGCTTCTAGTTTTAGCGCGAGAAAGGGGTCGGGCATCGAGAATGTCTACCGAATAGACACTCCTGCCAGCCCCCGAGCAAGACCCAACCCCTTGCCATTGCTGGGGTCGGGGGCTCGATAGCGAAATTAATGCGCGTAAATTAAGGGCGTCCTGCTAGCACAGGACCTACCTTGATGGCGCGAGTGACGGGTTCGGGGAGCTCTTTCCGGACATGTTCGAGTGGAGTCTGGGTCCATCATTCGTGACGGGGTTGGCATAACCCGCGTGGGGCATCCTGCTGCTCCCTACCCATCCCTCGATAGCAGCTAAGCCGTCCAGTCACTTGTATTGCCCTGCTAGGACATGACTTACCTGCGGAGATAGAGAATGAGAACATCCTACGCAAGAATTTAGTTAGGCAGATAAGCCAGGCGACGAACTCGTAATAAATGGACAAGCTCTTAGATTTTGTTATGGCCAAACAATTTTTAGCCCTTCTCCTCCTTTCGTATAAAAAGGTTGGTGCGCTCCGACCCTTTCCGTCGTTAAGGCCGTAAAGCTCGAGATGCGTGTGAACAAATTCTGATCACAATGGTGAGCAAAGACGTCGCAGCCGCTTAGGCGTAGGTTTCTCGCAGCCCGACCAGTTTTACTCAGAGTTTGTTTCCATATCCCTAGCTTCTAGGTCTCAACGTGAGAGGGGGTCGAGCATAGAGAATGTTCACTGGGCAAATAGACTCTTAAACGCGTACCGACTCTTTCCGTGGCTAAGGCCAAAAATCCCGGGTGCAGAAAAAAACTCTGATCACGCTGGTGAGCAAAGTAGCCGTAGCCGCCGAGGCATAGGTTTCTCATAGTCCGACCAATTTTACTCAGCGTTTGTTTCCACAAACTTCGCTTCTGGGTCTTAATCGTGAGAAAGGGTCGGACGTAGAGACTGTCTACCGGATAGATATGCTCTTATTAGCCCCTGAGTGAGGCTCGACCCCCGTCATTGCTGGGGTCGGGCGTCACCTAAAGATCAAGGAGTTGATAACAAAACTGATAAGAGAAAGTGTGTGTGTATATTAAGGGTAAAAGTAACGTAGCTGCTCGATGTTCCAGGCATTGACGAAAACTTCGCCGTCGATGGCCTTGAGCTTGTAGGCGCCTGGTCGGAGAACCCCCGTGATGACATGTGGTCCCTCCCATGGCGGAGAGAACTTGTGGTGGTTCTTGTTGCTCTGGATGAAGTGGAGTAGCAGGTCCCGACGTTGAACGCCTGACCCCGCACTCGACGGCCATGGTACCAGCGCAACGCTTGCTGGGACTTGGCCGAGCGGAGGATGGCGACGTCGCGCGTTTCATCTAGCCAGTCTCCTTCATATGCTCTCCCTTGTTGAAGCCCCTGAACAAGAACTGCTTTAAGAGGTCGTAGTCCTTGTATAGGTGCTCGACGAGGAAAGCATGTTTCGGGCATGGCCCTTCGAAGCAGCCTCTCGAAGTGGTTCGGGGTACCCTCGGCGGGCTTCTGGCCTCCCTTATGGTCGGCAATGGCCATGAGCGAGCCCTCGCGCCGCAGTTTGTTCTTCTTGACGGGACGGTATGAGGCACCTTCGTCGGTGTCCTTATCCCGCTTCGCCTTGCCCTTGATGATGCGTCGGCCAAAGGCCTGAGATCCCGGCAAGTCGGGGCTCGAGCTTCGGTCCTCGTCACTGTCGTAGAGTCCGCCACGACGTGGACGGTAGCTGTGGCTAGCCCCCTCCTTCGCATCGCCGTAGGGAATTGTGTGTATGTAGCGCTGATGCTGGATGAATAATGCGGTAGTTTACGTACGCCAACAACGTTTTTTGGATGATGCCTATCGATCTGCTCATCTCTGCGGCCTCTTGTTTGTAGCGTCGGAGTATTCGTTGACCTTTAGGCCCATAGCGTTTGGCTGTGCCAGGCTTCCACTGATCCACTAGCTGCGTGGAGCATCTCTAAGAGTGCCCCGTATCCTTTTCTCATCCATGTTTTTTTAAAAAGGAGAAAAACTAATTATCAAGAGTATCCCATATTTCTTTCCTATCTTTTGGCACTTGGCAAACCGGTCTCCTCCGCGCATAAAAAAGCACACATCCAAGTCACGCCGACCCGAACTTCCCCGCGCCATCGCGGTCTCCCTCATTGGCGCGATATATTTTTTTTTGCCGCGACTCTCCACGCCGACGCACGCCGTCGAGGGGAGAAGTGTCGCCGCCACAGATCAGGGACAAGGTACGTACTATCTACTGCTTGATCGTTGTCGGCGTATGATGATTGGCCGGTCGTTGGGCTTCCTGCCGCCCGCCGCCGCCGTACTTGGCATGGCCGCCGCCGGCGGGATTGGCCTGGCCGTCGCCTGCTGCTGGATCTCTGCCGCCGGGATTTGCATGTACACATCACGTACGTGGCCGGCTGTTGCATCTCTGCCGCCGGGATTTGCATGCGCATATTGCGTACATGGTCCTGTGCTGCTGGGCGTCTCCTGCTGGGCGGCTGGTACTGCTGCTTGCCGGCTGGTACTGGTACTGCTGCTTGCCGGCTGATGCCGCTGCTTCCTAGTGGACGCTTGCTCAACGAGGCCACTAGCCTGGCTTGCGACGGCAGACGATCGGGGGTCGCAACCTCGCGACAGGAAAAAAACACGCAGGAAAAAGGGTGTGGGACCCAGATTTTGATTTTTTGAAGTTAAATATAGGGTACTCTTGAGATGATTTTTTTTTCCAATACTCTCTTGGGAGTTAAAAAATATTCGGCGCGTTCGCTGGTTGGTTTCTGGGCTGGTTTGAGCTGGCTAGTGCTAGTTTGTTGTGAGAGAAAAACACTATTGGCTGATGAATAAGCCTGGCTGAAACCAATAAGTAAACAGGATAATTGAGTGTTTGGAAGAAAAATATAGAACACTGTTGGAGACGCTCTTATTCGCTGGGCACGTGCAGCTTAACGTGTTACTCCGCGCGAGTACGACGAGAACTGCTCTCCTCTCATCCCTTCCCAAAAAACCACTAAAAATATGAATAGTTAGATGAGAGCTACGGAGCCAGAGCCGGGAGGAGGCGGCAGGCCCTTTACTTTCCTCCGGTCACGCAGGTGGGTCCGGTAATTACGGTCGACCCGGTAACCTCGCCCCCACCCATCCATCCTAATCACGTTTCGCTCCATTTTTTTTAGCACCTTTGCCCCGCCCGTTGGTCCTCAAGGCCCAGCCGCCGAAGCCCACAGGCCGTGGATCAATCTCTCTAAATTTAGATGGACCCAAGCAAGCCGGTCCTGGAATCATATCAAATCAAATTCGGCCCAATTTAAGGATCCAAACAGGCCGGTTCCTTGTTTGACCTAGGGTTTGCTTTTATTTTACCACTACGGGGAAGCCAGAGACGCCCAGCCTGCGGTGCGAATCATCACTCGGCTCGTTTCCTGAACCTTCCTCCTCGACTTATCCCCATGGGCAAGTCCGGCGCAAAAAAGAAGAAGCCGGCCGTCGCCGCAAAGCCGCCGCCGGCATCGGCTGAGCTGAAGGCGACGCCGCCCTCGTCCTCTCTACCCGCGTCGAACGGTGCGGCGCTTCACCAGGCGGTGGACGCCGGCGTCCTCTTGCGCCGCGCGCACGAGCTCAAGGAGGAGGGCAACCGCCTGTTCCAGTCGCGCGACTACGCCGGGGCGCTGCGCCAGTACGAGCTGGCGCTCCGCCTCGCCCCGCGCGGCCACCCCGACCGCGCCGTCTTCCACAGCAACCGCGCGGCCTGCCTCCTCCAGCTCCGCCCCGTGGACCACGAGGCCGTCGCCCAGGAGTGCTCCCTCGCGCTCCAGGCCGAGCCGCGCTTCCCGCGCGCTCTCCTCCGCCGCGCCCGCGCGCTCGAGGCGCTCGGCCGCCACGAGCTCGCCCTCGCCGACGCGCTGGCGCTCCTCGCGCTCGACCCTGACCACCGCGACGCCATCGACCTCTCCTACCGACTACGCGCTCGTGTCAACGCGTCCTCGGCTGCCTCCGCTTCCTCGGCAACCGAGCCCACCAGCCGGCCCTCCCCCGCTGCCCTTGGTGCCTCCGCAGTTGTCGCTGGACTTGGCCATTCCTCTCCCGCTCGCCCATTCCCTAAGAAACAACCACCACCACCCCTCCTGCTACTTTGCAGCCAAATCTCGCAGTGATGTCAAAATCTAACCCATCACCGTTGCCCAAGCTGGTGCCTTTCTCCAATTCCTCGCCATCTTCAGCCAAGCCTTTGGCTGCAGGTAGCTCCGAGAAGGCCATGACGCTGCCAGTGGCCTCTTTGTTACCGGCAACAGTGGAACCGCTAATAAATAAAAAGGTTGTGACGAGATGGAGGCCTCTCAAGCTGGTGTACGACCACGACATTAGGCTTGGGCAGGTTCCAGAGAAATGCAGCTTCCGTACACTTCGGGAGTTTGTAGCGAAGAGGTTCCCATCATCCAAGGCGGTGTTGATTAAGTATAAGGATGCTGATGGTGATCTAGTTACCATCACATCGACGGAAGAGCTCCGGTTAGCTGAATCATTCATTGATAAAGTTGGCCACGAGGTTGTAGAAAATGGGAGGGAGGGTGACAATAAGCTCCCGGTGTTGAGGCTGCACCTTGTTGAGGTGAGCCCAGAACAGGAACCAATTTTGCCATCAGAAGAGGAGAAGTTGGAGGAGGATGAGGAGTTGTTGATCAATGGTGAAGATAGCACTTTGAATACTTCTGCAGTGGTAACCAACGCTGAGGTGATGAAGCAAGATGTCGAGAACGGAGTTGCTGAGCAAATTATGGAGACAGGAAAGAAGGATTGTGGCCATGCTGAGTGCAAGGAAGCTGAGATTGATGATTGGTTGCTTCAATTTGCAGAATTGTTCCGGAACCAGGTTGGGATTGATGCAGATGCGCATCTGGACCTGCATGAGCTGGGCATGGAGCTGTGCTCCGAGGCTCTCGAGGAAACCGTGACAAGCGAGGAGGCTCAGGCCCTTTTTGAGATGGCTGCTTATAAATTTCAGGAGGTTGCTGCCTTGGCCTTATTCAATTGGGGAAATGTGCACATGTGTGAAGCAAGGAAGCGCATCCCTCTCGATGAATCTGCTCCAAAGGAAGTCATGGCTGCTCAGCTCCGCACAGCTTATCATTGGGTGAAGGAGAGGTACGCTCTTGCAGGGCACAAGTATGAGGAGGCCCTTAAAATCAAGCCAGACTTCTATGAGGGGCTTCTTGCTTTAGGCCAGCAACACTTTGAGACTGCAAAGCTTCATTGGTCATTTGCACTGGCAGATAAGGCTGACCTTTCTACCTGGGATTCTTTGGAGACATTCAAGCTTTTTGATAGCGCTGAGCATAACATGAGGGCTGCAACAGAGATGTGGGAGAAGGTGGAAGAACAGAGAATGGCAGAGTTAAAAGAACCTGGTGCAGGTGAGAAGGATGAGGTACTGAGGAAAAGGCAGCACGGTGCAGGCGGTCAACCGGAGTTGACACCAGAAGAGGCAGCTGAGCAGGCAGCAGTAATGAGACAACAGATTCACCTCTTCTGGGGTAATATGCTTTTCGAGCGTTCTCAAGTGGAATTTAAGCTCAGTGTCGGTGACTGGAAGACAAATCTTGATGCATCTGTTGAAAGGTTTAAGTTGGCTGGAGCTTCAGAATCAGATATTTCGACAGTGTTGAAAAATCACTTTTCTAATGCAGCCTCTGAGTGTGAAGAGAATAAAGTCATGACTTCAGGCACAGAAATTTCCCAAACAAATGACAATGTTGAGGATAAGTGTGTGGTTGAAACCTAAGTTTTCATGGTTCAAGGTGCATGACATCAATGTGTATCATATTCATCAATTGCTTGATAGGCTTTATTTGTTCTTGGCGATATCATGGTCCTTTGTCGTGACATCTAGACGAGAGCTTCAAGCACACTGAGTTTTGTGTAATCTTGATAATTTACTAGAGAGGTCTTAGATTTCTGGATATATTATTATTCTTCAGCCAGTTTTAGTGGTATGTGATGTGGGTTAGTTTTCTTTTCCTGTCAGAAATCAGGTCTCAGCAATATCTCCCAGCTCACATTGTTTAAAACATCGGACACATACTTAGTAAACACGGAATGTTACCCATGACTCATTTATTGTCCTAAGTTGCTGATCCCTGCATGATAGATTTGTATTTTAGTGTTTGTTTATTTATTTTGCCGCTTTTGCATCCAGCAATCTAAGGCAGTTGTGCCTCAAATGTGGCTTTGTAAGCTGTAACATAGCGTACTTTATGCACTCTACAAGTACCGAATTCTTTTCGCAGACAAATTTCAAACAAAGTTACTGACCATGTTCAGCCACCATTAAACTGCTTTTTTTACTTTGTCCAAGCTAATGGATATTCAAGGTCGAATGGAAAACAACAGCAAGGCCGGCTGTGAGACAGTGAAAGCTATGACAGATTTTATATGAATATTCTGATATTTGATATGGTTCATGCATTTCACTATTCAGTTACATGGTTACTGGTAGAAATGAGTTGCTTTCAGTGACGGATCCCTAGCACGGGAGGCAAACGCCATGTATCAAGGTATATTCAGAGTTGATTGGTTATTCTTTTATTGCATCCTAGTTTTTCAACTCTTATGTCTCTTTTATGCGGTAGTTCACTTTGTGTGTACTCTGTTTTCGCCACTTTTCAGGGAGGTTAGCTTACCATTCTGGTGCAACTAATCGTGATTCCAGATTGATTCAAACAAGCTAAAAAACCTGTGATGTTTCACAGGTGTGGATCTTTTTTTTTTCATTTTTGGTTGCTATGGTCTGATTAAGAAGATGCCTTGCGATTTCATTTTTGTTTATGAGGCCCATTTTTGTCGGCAGCTTGGACTGCAGAGGTCAGTGTCCTGAACTCGTTGCATCTTCTAGCTCTATCTGTGGAATAAGAGCATCGACATGACGATGTTCGGTTTCACGATTTGTTTCCTTTCTGTGCTCCCAGTGTTATAATGTTATTTGTACATTTATTGGCTCAATAATACTCCCTAGGTTCAAATCTTATTTTCCTGCAGTTGAATGGATAGCAGTGGGGAATTGTAGAATTAGCTTGCTTTCATTGCCAACATACTGCTATTGTTTGGCCAAGTTGCTTACAAAACTCGACTAGTTTGTGCGCACTTACAATTTTTGCTCTATCAAACTGTAGATTTATCACAATTGCATTAATTTATATGATATGAAGTAGACTGTTAAGAGTAATAGTCTGTAAAAATATATCTACCTGACCTCAAAATTCATGGCTTTCTTTTTCCATTCTCATGGCTGAGATCATGTGTCATGTGTGTTTCCTGTGCACTGCCTGTTTTTCCCATGTGGTGTTTGCAGCCTTAGACTTAGACATGGGTACAATGTGAAGTTGCATATGCTTGTCTTTACACATATCTACTTCTGGTCTTCTGCCATATCAGCTTTAAGGTTCTTTACTGTGTCCATTATTGATGGTTCAAACTATGCCCTATCTGCCAGACAAAGCAATAGTTAATCTGTGTTTAAAACATCTACCAGAAGAACTTGTGCTCAATTCATAATAGAATATATAGTATATTTAAATTTAAAACTCCATTCCTCAGGTTGTCCTATTCATACTTGTGCAAAATGCAGGGGAGAAGACTATTTTGAGATGAAGTTTTCATCCATACACGAGGCCAGTACTGCCGATGGTGCCATATGATCAGCTCACTGCCAAGCTCATTAATCTTCGGCACCACAAATCCACTAATGGCATCCAATGACACATCTTCCCTAAGCTGCCAGGGTGCAAATCTGCAGTCAGGTCTCTCGTGCTCTGGGCCTCCTCACTGCTTTCTTTCAGTTTGTTGTGCTGTCTATGATAATATAATTCACTGTACTACTTTTGGTTGTTAGATTAGCATGCCTCAGGTCTGATTACTGAAGTTCCATGCCCTTTGTGATCTACCCCTTGTGTTTGTGTAGATTGTATTGCATGGCTGTTTCGAGCAGAGTAGCCAGTCAGCCACCTTTGCTTTATTCTTTCCTTGACTGTGCATGTTGTCTTTTCACAATCCATGTGTTTTAGCATAGCTAACGGCTTATCCCATATAGTATTCTTATAAGGGATTTACTACTTAAAGTGCGCTTTCATAAAGGTCCAATATGGATATTAATACATAATTCTTTGTTTTAAATAGGTCTACTGTGTATTAGCTAATGTAGCCTTACTGTCACATATTTGCAGCTGCAAGAATCTGTAATTTCTTACCATCATAAATGTAAAGCTACCCTTTTGGATAAGCCACGTGTAGTTAAAGCTCTCCTTGTTCTGTTAGCAGGAGTGGACATGAATAATTTCACTTTTTTCTTTTTAGTTTTTGTGACGATATTTATCCATTTTGGGATCTTCAATTTTTTCTTTTCCTGTGATGCTGAAGTTGTAGTTCTTTGGCTATTTGCAATAGAAAAATTCTTTCTACAAAATCAACCTTATAAAATCCACGAAATAACTTCATCAGATATTTTTTTTTGTTTGCACCCTTAAAACATTAGAGTGCTCACTGAAGTATTAGAACAAAATTGTTTTTTTGAATCAACGTTGAGATTTGATTTTGTGTACTACATGTACTTTTGCATTTGCATTGATTAGTGTATCAGACTAGGACCACAAAAATCATTGTATACTCATTAATGTCTCTGATAGTCTCATGCAAACTTGAATTATTTTGTTACTGGTGTCCCGATCTGCCAAAACTCTTGAAGAACCTCATTCTTTGAAGGTTGTGATGGCTTTTATCGATATTTAGCATTTTTCTAAGATGAAGAGATTAAATATGATTTATTAGTTTTTTTCATGCCAACATCTTTTTAAGCTGACATTTTTTTTCGTGAACCTGCCATAAGACATGTGTTTCATTAAGAGGGAAGGAAAGTTTTAGTACATGGGATTATAGTACGCCATCGCACTTGTGTAGCTTTAGAGAGACATGCGCGATAGGGACGCTAGCATGCGGCAACTGACATCAAGATCTGGTGGTGGTACAGCATAATTTTTGTCGACACTCGGTGAGTTGGCCCCTATATCTGAATCCTGGTTTCACCCTTGGATGCCCAGGCCTTCACAGGCTGCAAGCATTCCTGGACTCGTGATTTAAGAGCCTAGTGGGTTCCAATCTTTTGCCCAGTTATCCTTACCTGTTTTAGAACATCTAAAATTTGATTCTAAGCTTTTGTCAGCCTTTCTTCAATTGCTTCGTTAACATTTGTATCCCATAGTGTGATATTATCAGGGTAGTTAAATGCACAAAAAGCGTGTGCCTAGGTATAGTGCAGCATGACCATCTGAAGTTACTCCAGCGGCAGTGTACTTGCTCAGGCACACTCCTTTTTGCGTGTAAGTGCAAAGCAGCAGGGCACAAAGCACTCAGCTTGCCCTGATTCTCTCATATTACAACCTGTGCCTTTTTGGCATATCCGTGACTTATATGCTGTTGCTATTAATTACATGTACCTTAAATTTTAGGCCTGCACAATTTTGGCCCCTTCTATCCTGTTTACTCCCTTTGTTCCAAATTATAAGTCGTTTTGGCATTTCTAGGTACATAACTTTTATTATGTATCTAGACATAGTATATCTAGGTGCATAGCTTTTGCTATGCACCTTGAAAAGTCAAAATGACCAATTTGGGACAGAGGGTAGTAATATTTATATGATCAACAGCTACATATTAGACAGTTTTATTCTATTGCATTCATGTGTGTGTGCAACTGTGCATGCTACTTTTGGAAGTTTGCAGAGCCTAGCCTCTTATATCATGTCCCTTTATATCATAGCAAACGTGTAAAATCATGATGTACATGTTGCTGCCTCTGTACAAGATTTTCAGTTGATACTTCTAGGATCATCCATCAGGATTCAAATATGTTAAGTAGATTTTAGAAACAAGATTTTATAAAAGCTGTGGGGAGAAAATGGGTTATCCGCCGACATAGTAGTGACAGTTTCCAAATAAGATGATGAGATCTTGCAACACTTTGTTTTCTTCATTCTCTTCTCTGTGCTTATGAATATATATATGTTTGGTAGTTCTATAATTCATACTTAGCACGTAATTGTGTGTTGCATACTTGCATGTGTGTGGACTACTTTTAACTTTGGATCTTCCATTGTCTATGTTATCAGTTTTGCCATTGCTTCATTTTATTCCGTCCTCCACCACTACTGCCACTAGCCGCAAGTTGCCTCTATTCTGATCTAGGACCCATAAGAGATTATGTTCAGTTTTCATTGACAAAGATGAGATTGATGTGTGTCAATACATTCATATTGAAAAAAAATGCTGTTCATATCAATCTATTTGGAGAAATCAGTATTTTTTTGACCAATCCAATTAGAAGACTGTTGATTTTAGAAAAATTCCACATGGAAGATGATTGGGAGCACTGCAGTCAATACAATTATATGTACAGAGGCTAGTGCCTGTTTTTTAGATTTACCAGTACTTGGATTTAATCCAAATTCTAATTTTGGTTCCCAGTCTGAATATTTGTTGACTTCGGTTTAGGTCAGAGTCAGCTATCAAATTTTTAGGAGGGATGCCACCCAGTGAGTCACTTCTTTGGTCATTTTTTTTTCTCCTTTCAATCTATAGCTATCAATTTGCTAATTCCAGTTTGACTTACTAAACTGCAAATAGAAACATCAAATCTGAATTAAGTCTTGAGATCCTGATCTGCTTACACTAGTTTTTTTTTTTATCATACATAGGCAGGCTACAGAGGAGCAGGTTTTAGGAATGAACTTTCTG